TAATGAGACTCACCGCCTTTGTGGAAAGGTATTTATGGGTCGGCATTTTTTGGACCAATAGGACAACCTAAATTCTCATGCGTCCGAGAGGATCATGCGTCCGTATCAATTCGTCATGCGTCCCTATCAATTGCCTTAAATTTATACGTGCCTTGTTGTCAAAGCCATAATCATTGAAATACTGCGCGTTCTTCAGCCAGGGCAGTGGCCTGTAGCCAGTAGCGAAGCAATATTTGCCACCGCAAAATGAGCTTTCAAAGCATCATATCCTACCTTGGGTCTTGCCCCTCCTCGGGTCTTGCGTGAGGTCTCAAAGGCCAACCTGCCGACTTCGGCCACGTTTCTGGCATGTCTTGGCCGTCTGTAATGTATCAACTGTAGATTATTCGACCTGTACGCTGACGATGACGATACTGGACGACAGTTTTTAATCCGTCTGGCCTGCCTACCCAAGGATAAGCTGTCATGCTGTTACAAAGATTGATGAAGACTTGTGTGTATTCCCCCACCTGGTTGAAATGCTCGAATTCTTGGGCGGTTCATCTTGCCTCTCACAACCCTCGTACCTTTTTTTTTTCTTCTACTGGCCTTCAATGGACGACTTGTGAAACGTACTCTCTTGTGACTCTATGCAATTCTCACTGAATTGTATTTAAGAACTGGGTTTCTGGTCAACATTTTCACAGCCGGACAATATACTCCATCGTTAGTATGACTTCGACATTGTAGAAGCTGATTGAGCTGCGTGCTTCACGCCGCAGCAGCACATTCATGTTGAAAGTGAAACCCATGATACCAAGCGCGACTGTTGCCAAATCACGAGCTGCGAAATTGCGTAATTACCCTCTCTTTCGAAGTAGGACGTGGCGGACAACGGACACAACTGATGCATGGAACATTTATTGTGCAGCACGTGCTCGCCGAATAGCAGCTCGAACGACCCGAGACGAACGGGAGTGTCCAGTACAGTTTCCATCCCATAGAGTGGACAGTGTATTGTCGCGGCTTATTTGAGAGATGCTGCAGCCCTCCTTTGAATACTAGCAGAGGCACTTCCAAAGCTATGGCGAGACATTTGAAAATTCAAGTTGGGAGAGATGATTTGAGATTGAAGGTATTCAAGTCTCAGACACTTTAATACTAAGGTGCCCAAAAGACAAATCACAAGGCGACCCAGTGCTTGTCTTCATCGAGGCCGAAGAAAGCTCGTGTTCCTGGGTACATCCAAGACGAACATGTACATTTACAGAGCTTCGGCGCCTACTTCGTGTGCAGTGATTGTCTGGATAATATGTGTCACGAATGAGTACAAAGACGCGGAACTTAAAGACGGCGTTGACGATGAATCCCTCTCGTCTTTCCCAACGTTTGGACCGTGGAAACAAGGTAAATGCACACGCATACTGCTGTGGAACAAGAAGATTACAACTGCAATTCCAATCCTCCATCTCTGGCGTGATGATCCCTTTCTGTAAGGAGTTGCTTAAATACTGGCTGAGATGAGGCGGAAAGCCGTCAGAAATGAAGCATCGACGTCGGAACGGTAGTTGGCGTTGAAGTTTGCTCTAGGCAGGACCGCTCGAGCGATCCTGACTGCAATCTAAACCAGTTCCCACCCAATGCTGGAGGCATACCGTTGGTACTTCGCGATAAAATACGCATGCTTAGGTCGTAGGATATCCACGCGACGCAAGATTTTCCATCGAGGACTAACGAAGCTTAAAGGCATTGCTCAGCTCATTTCCTGCTTTTGCCGTCTTCTGTTTCGTTCTCCGGATATGGTATCTTTGTAGTATACTGCATGAGTATCCTTGTGATGAACTACACACGCGGCACGGCGGCTTGATAATCTTGAAACTTCCTTCAGACTAAAAGTCGTAGACCATTAATGTTGTTTACTTGCCAAGCTACTGAGATGGTTCTCGAGTCAATCGATTATGAGTGAGGTCTCCTACAATGTTCACACCTTCTTATACGTCTGATTTTCAACCCAAAGCGGATTGCATTCACACAAATGAGGTACTGCAAGACGTGGCCGGCCTCACAAAGCACACACACATCACGTATACCACACAAAATGTCTTTCAGAAATGTGCTCTGCATTACATATTAACAGCATTGTATCTACCAACATCCACCGTCCCAGTGCCAACTCTGCGAACTCATCGCTTAACCACGGCGGCGCGTGGTGGGAGCCTTCTTGGACGTGGCAGTCGAGGTAGCCGACGGCGCAGCGATGCCAGGGGCCGCGGCGATGGGGACCTTCTGCTTGCCTTTGGCCTTGGCGGAGGGCGCGTTCCAGTAGTACGCCATCTGCGAGGCGAGGACGGCGTTGAGCAGGAAGCCCGCGATGAAGTTGTACAGGATGAGCTTGTCGTCGACCTCCTGGAGGGTGGTGAAGATGCGGGAGAGGGAGCCGAGGAGGTAGTTGAAGACCTGGGGGAACGAATTTGATTAGCATTGTGCTTACTGCACAACAGACAAGAGAGAAGACTTACAGCAAAAGCGCTGAGCTGTCCGGTGCCGCCCTCAGACCAGATCGCAAGAATCTGGGGAACCTTGCTCGCGACGCTCAGCACGCCCGCGCCGGCCTGGAGGTATCCCAGCGTCTGCATATCAACCAGGCCTCCGGCGAAGAGCGCGCCCATCGCTACAGCCAGGGCCGTGACGAAGACGGCCGCCAGGCCCGCGCGGCCGGTGTAGTTGAGCACGAGGACGGTGATGATGACGTTCTGGCCCATGATGAGCGCCGTCTCGCCGTAGGTGCTGAAGGGGAACTGGTTGCGGTAGTTGTAGGCGAGGGAGACGAGGTAAGAGGCGGTCTCGAGGAGGTAGGAGAGCACGGAGATGCCCTCGCCGGATTGCGAGGAGGTGAGCTTGCGGATCTGCGGCAGCTTGACGATGCTGGAGACGCCGACGATGCCCAGGCCGATGCCCTTGGACAGGCCGAGCTTGATGCAGTCTACATCCTCGACATTGATGTCCAGGAGGAGGGACTTGTAGCAGTGCTCGCCGATGATGGAGACGCCGAGGTCGCGGATCGGGGTGGGGAGGTTGTGCGTTACGGGCTGGAGGGCGGAGCGGACGGCGTCCATCGTGAAGGTCGGGCTGGGCGGGTTTGTGCCGGCGTGGCGTGAATGTTATTTGGAAAAAGATTTGTTCGAGGATCGCGGGCGATTCCAAATTTTGCGCCGGAAGGTTTGCGCCGGGAAGATGCGGGCTGGTAGAGAGGTGGGAGACGAGCGAAGATTGTTGAGCTGACGTCCACACTGACACGACGCGTTGACGGAAGGGTTGAGGTCACTGATAAACCCTGAAAAAGACGTAAGGGGTGGCAGGCAATTGGACCAGTCGGAAATTTTTGCGGGGAGCTAAGGTCCTAGCTGAGAACGAAGAAAGACTGCATGAAATAAAAGCCAAGTCGGCCACCACACACAGCAAACATCCCTGCCGACGACCACCATCCCATTCCCGATACGTTGCCCCCGCGTACCACGTTAAACCTCCGAATTCAGCAATAGCTTGATATCGAAATGCCTTTGTCGAGTCGACTGCAAGGCCGCGTGATGTAAAGCAGAAATGCCAGATCCATCGCAACATAGCTGCCACAACTGACAACCCCGGGCTAGCCAGAAGTTTACTTCTTCACAGCCTTGGATTGCTTCTTCTCAAACGCAGCGATCAAGTGCTTGCAGTTCGCGAGGTTCTCTTCGGGCTCCATAGTGTTCTCATTGTTGGAGTAGCCCTTCCACTTCACCTCGTACTTCTTCTGCTTCTTGCCCTTGGCGGGCTCAACGCCAACGATGCGCTCGACCTCATATTCATCGTCTTCGGACTCAGCTCGCACAGCAGTGGGACGCTTCTTGGGTGTCTTCTTCACCTGGGCTACACCTCTCGTGTGAGAGCTTGAGACCTTCAAGTATTGTTAGCCGTGTCTCTGCATATTGCCATTTCGAGTGAATGAAAGGGAAATACCTTTTTGGTCGCGTCGGTGTTCTTGCCCGAAGATCGGAGAGACCGTTTTTCGTCTGTAGGGACACTTCGATTAGCTCGCAAGATCTTAAGGCGTGCTAAAATACGGTGTCTCTTACTCTGAATGCTGTCTCTGGTGGCCTTGCTGGACGTTGTAGCAGCCTGGGTCTTTGAGGGACGACCTGGACCACGGCGCTTCGGAGGGTTAGCCTCAGCAGCGGCGATGTTCTTCCGGGGGCGGCCGCGACGGGGGGTCTGAACGGGGACCTCTTGATCATTGACCGCGTCGTTACCCTCTACGCTCTCTTCCTCCCCGTCGGTCTCGCTCTCATTCTGTCTTTCAGTGTCGTCCTCAAACTCTTTCTGTCTCTTAGGGTCGTCCTCAGTCTCGTCGCTGTTAACAGCATGGCCGTCGACGTTCGGGTTCTTCGACTTCTTGGCGGCCTGTGCTCTAGAGATGAATGTAACACCGGCTTTCTGTGTGTCGTTGGCAGAGGCTTGCTCGAACTTGCGCTTGGCTTTTCCCGCTACCCGAGACGTGGCAGGCAATTCTGGAGTGCCAAGAGGAGTGCCATACTGAGAAGACGAACCTCCTTGAAAAGCTTCCACCTCGTCGAGACGCACTACAGAGTCCTCACGCTTGATCTTCATCGGAGCCAGGGCGGGGCGGCCACGCTTGCGCTTCGGAGCGGGAGCGGCATCGTCGGCATCAGAACTATTGTTTTTGATGCCTGGAATGATATCCGACGTGATCTGAGGGATGGTGTCATCCCCCATGTCGGCTTCCTGCTCGGCGCTGTCTTTCCATCAGTGCTCCGTCCAAAAATGGGGATGGGGTATCTGTTCTTACTGTTGCGCCGCCTCGGCGGCCAGCGCGGCGAGCTGTTCCTGGGTCATGGGCTCATCGCGTGCCTTAAACACCGTTTGCTTCGACATGTTGGCGATTATCGATGGGGTAAGGATGGTAGAAGTGGTAAGGCGTAGGAGCTGAGTAAGACAAGGCTATTGGGTTGATGCTCGTCGACGCCTCTGCGAGTCGCATTCTTACGAGTCGCGTTGAGGTGAGAGTGATCTTAGGAGAAGTTTGGTGGCAGGGTGGGGTGAGAGAAGTAAATCTGAATTGTGCCTGAGGTACTCGTGAAAAGAGGGAAGGAGCGGGTGGCAGGAGCGGGTGAAAGGTCGCGCCTGCTGTCAATAGAGAGACCGCCTAGGTTCTCAGTCGAGGGAAGTTCACAGCTAGCCAGCCGCTGACCAGGCCGTAAAAATTAGGAAAAGGGGGAAAAGGCACTGGGAAAATTTTGGAAACAGAATGCTTCACAACATAAGGAAATACAAAACAACTCTTTCTTTGATGCCGGCCGAAACAATGGAGGAACGGGCAAAGAAGATGGGAGGAGGTGACCAAGCTTCACCCTGCAGCCTTGTTGGGCGAAACATCACTGCTAGTAGCCTTTCGGACAACACAGTGTACGTAGGTATTTACTAGACAACAGAAGGTGCTGGTCGTATCAAAAGCGAGTAGTGCTTGGATCGAGCCAGCTTGACACCAGACCTCAAGCAGATGTGTCACACCGAATCTAGACCGACATGAAGCATGATTTGGCTGCCATGCGAATTTGCTGTCATGGCACTTTCCTGATGTTGGCTTTGTATCTCATCGTCCCGTGTTCCTTCTGCCATAACCCTATTAATCCAACTCTTCCACTCTGTTCTCTCCCAATTCATCAAAACGCCCTGATCTCACAGCTTGCTCCACTGGGTTCTGAATATCCACGATGCCTGTTCTTCTCAATCTGCTGGGCGTTAGTGTGGTGGACTGTATGCATGGGCGAGCAAACTTGCCTCTCAAACAACACAAAAAGCCTCTCGGCTTCTCTCTCTTTTTCTTCCTCTGTCATCTCAGGAACGTCGACGTCTTTCTCCTTGTCGATGAATTGACCCGTAATGGGGTTGACATGTCGCTGGCCATCTCCGCTGCTGAATGCCTCGGAAGCATTGGCGGGAATGGGGATGTTGTTCTGGAACAAGAAGCCGGACGCGAATCCGTAACCCACGTTTTCGACAAACTTGGACGCATCTTTGTCGGACATGTCGAAGAGCAGATGTGAGATGGCGTCTCGGAGTTGCGGGGTCATGGGGTTGGTAGAGTTACGCAGCAGTCTGGACGTCAGGGATGTACCACGGCCGAGAACCTCCTTTCTGTCCTCTTCAGTTGGGAGAAGAGTTGTGCGGATATACTTCTTCACTTCCTCAGGGGCACCATCGTGTACCCTCCGCAGGACGCCAACGAGGGGTGTCGTCAATTGCTCCAGCTCATTATCCGTGTACGCCTTCAATGACAGGTCCAACAGCTCGATCAGCCTCTCGGACACCTTCTTGGGCTCATTCTTTGGGTAGATGGACGACTGGGTGTCCTCGTCCTCAAGCTTCAAGTTGAGAAGCGCGTTGACTAGGGAGTTGAAAGGAGGGTCAAGCGGCTTCTTGGGAGAGATGTCCTGCTTCCACAACAAGGCTATGATATGAGGTATGCTGGCCGTGAACGCGGATGCTTCAGAGGAGCAAAAGTGAGACACGTTGAACAGCAAGCGCAGAATCTCATTCAACGCCATGTCTTCCATAGGGTCGACGGGTGACTTGTTCTGCCCCTTCGCAAGTAACTTTGCATGTTTGCCCAACTGCTCTACCACGGTCTCCGCGAGACCGTGCTTCTGGATGAGACCAAGGAGATCAATGTTCGTTTCGTAAGTCGTAAGGAAGATGACTCTGGAGGCGAGAAATTCATCATCAAAGCTGTCGCTCTTCAACTTCTTGCAAGCTTTATCCTCATAACCAAGATCAACGAACATCTGCCGGGTCTGGGGGTTCAGCAGCATCGCATTTGCAAGAACCCTCAATGCAGCTCTTGAGGTTGAGCTCGAGGGGCTATTGAAGGCATGCTTCGTGAGAATCTCAATACCCTGCGACGTGTCAGCTTTAGATGATAGTGCTGTGAATGAGAGGTCAAACCTCAGGAGTAAAGATGGGGCCGGCATCTCTAGGGTCCCGTCCATAGATCTTGAGCTCTTCCAGGGCGGCGTCTCGTTCTGCCAAAATCAGCCATATGAACTATGGAAAGAGTATGGTCAAATTACTCACGCTGCGGAAGCAGGCTGACGCTCTTTAGATCCTCGCCAAGCTTGTTCATCAAGCTGGTGACGGCCTCGAGCTTCGCTGGATGGCGGTCAATTATAGGCTCGTCAGACCAGGATGGGCCGCAGGAGCATACCATTGCCAGTCAAGTTGGCCTGCATGAGGATCGGTTGGGACATGGCGCGGCGCGGGGGACCGGTCCTGGGGCCGGTCTCGGTAGTGGATTTGGAGCCGAGAGTAGTATGAGAAGCACAGATGTTGGACGTAGTGGCAGGCGACGACGCTCGACGAGCCTTTCGATCCTTGACGTTTAGCATCCTCCTTAATATAGACACCATGATTTGGGGACAGGCCAGGCAATGGCGATGAAGACAAGGAACACACGGGATTACCTATGAGATGGAAAGATGAAAGATTTGGGTCTTTCTGGCGCTCGGCGGGAGACGATTGTACGGTCGTACAACTGGACGGGTAGGTGTGTATGTGGTTGTGGCTCTTGACGTCGATTCAAGTGGCTTGATATTCTAGGCCCCCCAATGGCCCGAAGCTAGGTTCGATGCAGCGTTGAGATTCGATTTAAAGGGAAGCTCCGGCAGCGACGCTCCGAGCAGACGTTTTCAGGCGATTAAGCCTAGCTTTTGGGGAAGATCAGTTTGGTGCAGTCAGGTATTTCAATTGAAGCTCAGCTGAAGTGACGGATAATCATCCAGTGACAAAGGGGGATGAGCCGGCCCAGACCACGAGACCTGACACTGGACAGCTCCTACGCTTCCGATCCACTGTTGTTACACAGAGCAGGACGTGGGGACGCGACAGTGGCTGCATTGCGCCAGGCGTTGACGTGAGCAACTTGACAGGCCGCCCCGGCTGCAGCGCCCGGACTGCTTCTTACCCCGGGCGGCTTCAGGGGGTAGATGGTGAGGTGGGTCTGCTCTATCACCAGCCGCAGTGGCACGGGTGGCTCAAGGATGAGCTAAGCAGAACAGTTAGCTAAGCAGAAGGCCATTCAACGCTTCAGTTGCTACAGCATTTTCACTGGCCATGCGAATCCCAGAAACGCACCCTGCGGTTTCCACTCATTCCAGTGCCCCACTTGGTCCGCCGGTCGCCGCCCAACCCCCAGGCAACGAGACAACGAGTTGACCAGGGTTCACGTCAAGCACGGGCCACATCTTTAAGTGGTTTTCGCGCCCAGCTCGCGTTTTTACGTGCATCGCGGAACTGTTGGACGTGTCTAGCACCGTCAAGCGCCCCAGCCAATTATCCAGCCCATCCACTTTGAGAGATCGCGGAACGGACGTCGTGCCGCGAAAAGTGCTCCAGGTCCGCTCTCCATACCTAATCTTTCCGTACCCGTCCACGGCTTCGCTCCAGCCTCCTGGTCGTCTCCTCCTCATCGTCAATCTCCATACGCTCGTTGTCGTTGGAATCCCCTCTCTCTGCTTGCCATTCCTTGCTGCACGGGTCGATTTTGCACGTTAGTTCTCTCTGCATTTGGTGTGCTTATTCGTCCGTTACTCCTTTTCTCTCTGCTGGCAGGAGTCCGACGTACACATGCGCCAGCCGAGATAGAGACCAAGACAGAGACAGCTGGTGTCCGGCGCCCCATCACTCCTCCGTCATCATGGGATCTGTCGAAGTTGTATCGAGCCGACTCGAGTCGTTACCTCCTCGTCCGCCAACACCACCGCGCGAGACCAACCAAGCTATCGATGCTGCTGCCACGAAGCATCTTCTCGTCATCCCCCCCTCCTCCGATCCTCGACCTATGCACACGCCGCCGAATGTGTACTCACCTCTCTCCGGTGCCGACTCTACGAATCCGAGCATACGCAGAGCTAGGAAACGCGTGGGCTTCTCGGCCAAGGCACAATACAACGAGGCACCCATCTATCCCGACGCCAAATCTTTGCCGAGGCCGTCGCCGCTCTCCGCGCCGTCCTCGACGCAACCGAAGCCAGTCAAGGGCATCCTTAAGCAGACTTCTTCTCCGAGTCCACTGAACTCCAGCAACCAGTCCGACACGCTGGCGACACCAGCAAACATCGCAGACATGTTGGAGTCGACAGTCAAGCAGCTTGCGGGTGCTGACAGGGACTCGAAGCGGGATGCGTATACCACACTCGTCATGACGCTCAAGACGTCAAACAACCTCCCGGATCGGATTGCGCTGCAGGGCAAGATGGGCCTCTTCGTCCAATTCATTCAACGGGATATTACATCAAAGAATCCTACAACCAACGGAATCGACGTTCCTCTCACCAACAACGCACTTTCCCTATTGGCGACGTTCCTTCATTTCCCCGCTATTGCCTCAACGATACCCAACGATTTCGGTGTTTTCTTTATGGACCACAGCATCCGATCCTTCGAGGACTCGTCGACACCAAAGGATGTTGCTCGACACCTGATGCACTGTGTCGCTACCCAGGACTTTTCGTCGAAAGTCATGACCTCCGATCGCGTCCGCCGCCTGGTCGCCGCCCTCCGCAAGATCGAACAGCACTTGCAGGGAAAGAGTATTGTCATGTCCCGAATCATGATATATAGGAGGTTGATGCAGCAAACCAAGCAGCTGATGGCAGCCCACTCCGATTGGCTCAACGATCTTTTGTCAGACATGTTAAGCACTATCAAAGACTTGCGAAATGCGGCGATATCCCTCGGTTTCGAGGCCGTTTACATGTTCGGCAAGGAGAAGTTGCTGTCGCGGAAGGTCATGGAGCTCTTTGATGCGTCCATTGAAGAGATGAAGTACGCAGAGCACTACCACCGACGACTGTTCGCCATGGCCAAGGAAAAGGAAGACAGAACCATGACTGCATCCGTCCCTAAGATCTGGAGTGTCATCATGCTCTTCATGCGCTGTCCGCTCGACCGTTGGCAGTACTTCAACCAGTGGCTGCAGCTCATCCAGATGTGCTTCAACAACAACGACCACCCACAGACCAAGCAGGAGGCGAACCATGCCTGGAACCGATTCGTTTGGTCTATGCATACTGAGGGCCAGTCTTTTGTGAAGCTTCTTCCAACATTATACCAACCTCTTGGCAGTCAGATCAAGTCAAAATACACCAGCAAACACATCCGCGAGGTTGTTTTTGGCAGCATCTGCAACCTTCTTTACTACACCTTCAGGCCTGGCACAAGCACAGCACTCCTCGATAACTACTGGGACGCCGCCGTGAAGCCGATTACAGAACTCCCCAAGGTATCCGCACGGAATCCCGACATCGTCGATGAGCACCTGCGGCAAATGACCCTGGTGTTGATGGGCCTCTTCGATTCATCCACGCACCGAATCTGGAGGGAAGATCGTATTAAGGAAACGACTCTCGCCCGACCTGAGGAGCTTCCATCTATCGACCCCAAGTGGCTTCGACGCAACGCAGCCAGTGTTTTTCAGGTCATGGACCCCATCATGGACAGGCATTTTCTCGAGCTCGGGGACAAGAAGAGCCAAGTAAATCGGTTATGGCGCACCCTAGTGGGAGCTGTCGCATCCGCCTGCTCGAAAGAGATCAAGGTCTCCGTTGACACCACCGCTTTCCTCTCCCAGATGTGCGGCCTTCTGCTGAAACACTGGGAGACTGGTTTGGGCGAGATGAAAGAGCCTGACTCAGAAACGGCGGTGCGATTCTTGGACAGTGCGCGGGAGCTCATTACAATAGCAGTTGAAGCTTTGGGTCTGCTGCCCTTCACCGAGAAGATGATCTCGCTAGGACGCACGCAAACCTTTACGCCTGTCTCGACGCCTTCTCACAAGCCCGGCAAGACCTCTGGAGACACCAGAACGCCCCTCCACCATCTGTTCGGCTTGGTCACGCGGCTTCCTCCTGGTATTCCCGATAACGAGGACTTTGTCAACTTTTTCCGCGCCGTCTTCACGCCGTTCTTTGCGAACAAATCACCAAAGGCCCGTTCTGACCTTGCCCAGGAAATGCTTTCCATTCCTCCCAGTTGGTCACCCACAGATGCACAAGTACCCTATGCGCCATGGGTGTTTGCCTCCGATTGCCTTGTTGCCACTCTCAACATGTCTCAGAATAGTGCCCAGACTAACAGCTCAACTGGCGAGCCGATTCTTGGTCCCGAGTACCGTGCAGTAGTTCGGCTCCTTGAGCGCGGATGGAAGGAGGCACCGAATTTGCCTTGGCAACACTGGTCCACTCTCTACTCCCTGTTGTCTAACAGATCCAGCGAGGAAGCTGGCGAAGCTGGTCGGGCCCTAGGAACAATCGAACCACTTGCAAAGGTCATTCGGGAAAGCCTTCCCACAGAACGTGCCGCGACGATTTCCTCAAAGACGATTGTAGCTACAACGGAGTTGCTGTCTGCTGCCAATCATCCGCTTGACAGACAAGCTCTTGAAGCAGCTCGGCGAAGATTATGGGGTACGGCTGTTACCGGCCCCAGATCTTTATCCTTCGACCCTTACGACTACTTGTACAAGTTGACCGGTGAATTGTTGGAGCGTCTGTACGAGAATGGCGAGAATGGAAGTCTCGATGAAAAAGTTGCCAGTTTCCTGAGAGAAACAGCCGGCTTTTTGTCCCGCTGCAACTCAGAGCTTGTTCCAAAGGCCGTGGCCAACTTGGAGAGTGGTCTTACCATGTGGATTCGGGATTCGCAGGGCATTATCAAGACTCGGCAGAGCCCTGCATCATCGGAAGCAGTAAGTACCCATTCTGATGGAATAAAGAATACTCCCCTAACCACGCGTAGGTCAAGTTGCTCTGGGATACCATCGCAAAGATCATCTTGTCAGGCGACAAGCCGGAAGAAATCCACTTGGATATGTACGAGGAATTGTTTTGCGCCGCCTTCGAAAGCAAGCATCGACACATTGTCAACTCGATCTCGGAGACATGGAATCGTCTGTACGAAAACGCAGAGAACATTCAGTACCCCGAGCACCTCAAGGCTGTACTGCTTTCTGTACAGCCCATGGTCGACATTGTTTTGCCAGGTCTTGAAGTCGCTAGCATCGCGTCTACTGGGCAGAACCGGTCGTTCGTTGAGTCTCAGGACGACATCGAAATGCTGAGTGTCGAATCGACGCGTTCGTCACGCAAGAAGCTCCGGTCTATGTCCAACCAGTCTTCTCCACTCAGCTCGATACAGCGTTCATCTGCGAAGCTCAAGGCCCAAAAGGTCTCTAAAAGAACGCGTGGCAAGGCCCGTACTCCTACAGCTCGCTTGAGGCACGACGATTCACAAATACAATTTGCGCCAATCGAGATGTCGCCTTTGAATCCCAACACAGATGTGGAATCGCAAGTTCTCACGGAGCGACAGAAGGAAATCTGGGAAAGACAGAAGGACACTTCAGCAATGT